CTTGAAGCTTCTGGTTGACTAAGACTCCCACAGAGTGAGGGCTCTTTGGGTTGGCAGTGCAACTCTTTCCAAACTTCTGGAAATAGAGAAGGTTTAAAACTCCAAGTGTGGTGGATAATCATGATTTCTGCCACATGTGCTGAGAATCACAAGCAGATATAACAAGAGGACTGTGCAACACACACTGCTCGGAGGATCTGCTCTGAAATCCTGTACCTAAGCCTTTAAATATTTTTTTTCTCCCTCTCTGCCTAGACTCTGAAAGGTTATGCCATGAATTCTAACATTCTCCTTTATATCCTTAACCATCTATTACTAATATTATGCTTAAAAAATCTTAAATTGGTCCTATTACTTATAACAAGCAAATGCAAGATTTACAAGCAAACTGCTGATATCAAAAGATTTTCAGCCTGAATTTTCTTAACTAGTTCACAGATTGATAGCTCAATGAAACACAAGATACTATGCCTTCCATCTACCCACTTATGGCAAAATAAACAAACTTAAGCTCTTCAGTTTAATACATTAATTAATACTGATTAATACATTAGTACAGGCTGTTCCTCAAACATTATTCAGTTGTAAGTTAGTCATATATTCCAAAATGACTAGAATTTTAGTGATTTTGCTTTCTACATTGAGAGTGAATATATTTTTTTTTAAAAAAAATAATTTTAATGAACATTTACAGAGAATTTGGATTTCCATTCATTCATTGCTGCACTTCTCTACCTGCCCAGCCCTCTCTCCCCGCCCCCCCAGTTTGCTCACAAGAGTCTACAATTAAGGTTGCATAGTGGAATGTACTTGGGGCGGTGGGAGAGGTGCGGGGGGATTGTGTACCAGGGAGGGAGTCTTTCTTTTACTTTTGAAAGAGAGAGTGAATATATTTCAAATGACTGAAAATAATTAACTGTGTAATCAAAGATTTTTTTCCACGTTGATGGTTGTTGGTAGGGTAATATTACGGATTGAATTATGCTCTACTAAAACGGTTCTGTGCCATTGTTCACAGGGTTAATATGAGTCTTAGTCAACTCAATGGCACATAACATCAACGAAACAGGTCTCTTAAATTCTAACCTCCAGTTCTGCAGGGAAGCTTTAGTGATGTGAAAGAAAAAATACTGAACAATTAATTGAAAAGTGGTCAGGACACACCAGCCAGTGATTCTGAGGGAGAAAGACAGGTCAGTGTCCTTCCTTGAAGATTTATAGCCTCTGAAACCTTGTGGAGAGTTATTAGGAGACAGAACTGACTCCTCAACAGTAGGTTTGGGGTTTGTTTTGTGATTATTGATTAGAGTCCTCTGAGGTACAAAGTAAAATAGAACAAGCAAGCAAGAAGAGATGATAAAGAATATGGAGGTCTCTGGGGAGCCAGAAAACAAATGGAAAAAACAAAAACTTCTCCCAGAGGACTCAACTGAGAAAATAAAAATCTGTTCAAATCATCCACTTGTGAAATATCTATCGCAAAGGAACTAGAAAATTAAGCTAGGATCTATGAACTAATAAATATGTGGATTTTCTCTCTTTTAAAGCTCCAAGCCAACCACCAGCAAACATTGCATGGAGACTGACAAATTCTAAATTATGCTTAAACTGGGAGCATGTAAAAACTATGGAAAATGAGTCTGAAGTATTGGGCTACAAGGTGAGTATTAAATTTCCTTTCTCATCATAATAGTATGATAGAAAGAACCAGAAATGATAAAATCAGAGAGACAATTATTTATGTGCAAACATGTTGTTGTTGTTGTTATGTGCCATCGAGTCGCTTGCAACTCATAGCGACCCTATGTACAACAGCCCTAAACTTCTCTCAGTCCTGTGCCAATCTCACTGTCTCTAACACTCCCATCCCGATTACCCCAGTCACTGAATCAATCCACCTCATAGAGGGCCTTCCCCCAATATACACATATTAATTGTAAGATTCTAGTTGGGAAATTTTTAAATCCACTTTCAAAACATTTAGCAATGTCAGCTAGAAATTCTTACTTTAAAAAAGATTTTGTATTCTCTGGCGGGCAAGTAAAGTGTCACAGAGAATTCGGAAAGAGAACTTTATAAGATGTCGTGATAGTTCAAGTGATTCTTTTTGCCATCACAAAGTGATGTTGTACGTGAGGCGTAGAGATGAAATGTGAAGAAACCTAGAGAGTATATTCAAATATGAGTTCTCTGAGAATTCAGTGTGTTCTGATGCTTTAAGAACATAAAGGGAATTTTAGAAGAGAATAATCAAGTACGAAGAGCAAATTCTTTCCTTCAGTGTCTGTGATGCCACCTCTTGGCACTCCTATGTTCAGGCATTTGAGATGGGTCCAAAGGAAAATGTTCACAGCAAGCGATGAAGAGAAGAGCCTCAGGCTATTTAATTAATAGAGATAAATTTGTTTGCCTCATTTCAGAGGCAATGGCCAAGAAGAAAATCTTTTAACAAGAACAACTAAATTTAACAGAAAGTCATAACACGTAATTTTGTTCTGAGGTGTACAGTCTTGAGACTGTTCACCTTATCCACAATACCTCAAATATTCCGCAATATTTCTTGATCCTTACAAAAGCAGCAGAGCATATTCTTGATTCTTTTTTTTCTTTTCTTTTTTTTTAAGATCTTGTACCGACAAAACAGACAAAGTAAAACTCATATTTTGGAAACAAATAACACATCAGCTGAGCTTCTGGTTCCATTTGAAGAAGATTACTTGATTGAGATCAGGACAGTCAGTGACGGTGGAGACGGGAGCAGCAGTGAGGAAATTAGGATCCCAAAGATGTCCAGTAAGTTGAGTTGTGTTGCTACTGTACATTTTGTATTTAAACAGCTGCAACAAGCGATGCCAGTGCTCCAAAACTTTCCAAGCCTTTGTAAAACTACAGAATGAAAAAAATACAAAGTCTGTGCTTCCATTTTCAAATGTGAGCCAGAGGAAATGGTCCAATTTTTCTTAATAAAAGTGTGTTCTTTGCAGTGTATTATAAATGTGTCCGTATATTACAAGCAGTTTTACGTTTCCTCATTATCTTCCTCAGAATCTTTTTAAAAAGCACATGCCACCACTACATAATTTTGTGATTCTTTTTATTGAACAAAAATTGCAGAACCTCCTCATGGGTAACAGTACACCTCTTAAAGAAGGAATGTGAATGAAGTATATGAAGTCCATGTAGATAATCTTCCCTTCTTGTATTCATAGCAGACATTATTAATCAACTGTGGCATCCACACTGATTGGAGTGAACCTGCTGAAGTCTTCCAACTACAATGTTCAAAGCAGACAACGATTATGCAGAGTTATCAATTCAGTTGCTATTGAATTCATTCCCACTCATAAGAACCCTTTCATTGGATTTCAGAGGCTATAAATTTTCACACTAGGAGACTGCCATCTTTCTCTAGCCATCTTCCTCTCCATTACTGATTACCCACTGGATTCAAATCACTGACCATTCAGTTAGCAGTCTGACACGTTAGACACTGGGCTACCAGGGCGTCTTCATTTAGAGCTAGCATACGCTAATAATGCACTATTTCTGTATTCAAGGACTCATTCGCTACTGAATCATGTAAGTCTAAATATGTAGCTAAGTAAAAGTTACTAGCTATTGTTTAGAGGGTAGAAAATGGAGCATGGGGGCACAGGGCCCTGAGCCTCTCTCTGAAAGAGCTGGAGGGAGTGAGAACAGCACAGCCCCTCCGTGCCCCAGAGCGGAAAGCAGAAAAAGCCTGTAGCCCAGCCCCAGGGTGCTTCTAGAGGGACACCAGCAGCAAGAGGTTTGTTCATTTCTTGTTGATTCACATACTTTACTCACAGTTGTGTTACCAGGAGTGGGGGTTATTAGGGACATAAGCTGGAGAGTGGAGGAGGAATAGTTCACAATTCAAGTCCAGGGTTAGTCTAGCAGTCCTAAACCATATTAATAGCAAAACACAGTTTCTTAATTAGTGAAAATACCAATTCAGTTTAGAAGAACAAATTCAAATCATCCAACAAGGTTTGTCTCAGAGCAGTTATAAGTCAGCTACTATTTAATTATTCAGAAAGCACAGAGAAAACAAACACAAAAGCAAAAAAAAAAAAAATCACACACACACTCACACAACCACCACCTAAAAACCAAAACAGTGGCCTTTATCTCAGAGCTACTCTGGTTACAGTTTGACAATTTCTCCACAGCAATGCCACAGTCTCTCCAGCACCATTACCAGGGCTTTGCAACCAGGGCCTTGCACCAGTGTCCCTCAAATCTTGCTTATCCTAGTCCCATAGCTGTTGATAATTCACAAGATTGCGTGTCTGCAGTTAAGTTAGCCAGAGAACAGAGAGGGCTAAGGTAATGTCTAAAAAAAAGGCCAACTTTAGGCTAACACCCTAGATATCTACTGATGGTCAAACTCTAACCTGCTCTTTTAGCAAGATTTTATATTTTTGTATTTAAAGCTATCATCCTATAAGGGAAAGTAAAAACACTTTCAAAAATGGAATATAATGTGTAAAATAAGTGTAATAAAATATATTATTGGAATAAAATTATAGCTAGCAATTAGAATCTTTAAGAGTTAATTTAATAAGTAATTTTATCTGTCTGAATGTGTCTTGTTTTTGGTTTGTTTTGCAGGTTTGAGCTCCAGAGGTATTAAGGTTTTAGAACCTCATGTCCATGTTCTGTCATTTGTTATGATTTTGTACTGTTTTGCTATTCAGCTGCTTACATGATGAGTAAAATGAATCTTGAAGGGAGTTTCGAAAAGAAACCATTCTGTGACTCAGTTCTCTAGATCCCAAACTGAAGACATATTCTTAATATAGACTTGTTTGGAAAAGAAAAACATTGTATATTATTAATATCTTGTAAATATCTATGGTACATCAATAAAATACTTTTCAATAATTTTGAATTTTAAAGTTCACATATGATTGCGTATGTTCAAATGGTGCCAAATGATCTGTGGCGTTTTGATTATCGTGTCTCTTAAGTGACTAAATATGGAGGGCATTAAATAACACTTTTGATGATGAATATGACATGAATCTACAGTTTCCATACCTGAGATGTGTGTTTTTACATGCTCAGACATTTACTTCAGTATTAAAAGTTCTGACCCTACTTGGTAATAAAATAAATTTATTTGCTTATATTTTGTATTCTTTACAAATGTAAACTATCTCGAAGCATGACCTCTTTTGAAAAGCTTTGAATCAAGTTCAAATAAGAAATCTTTTTAGTGGCAAGAAGCAGCGCTGCAATTCCAGAGAAACACGAGAAGGAGGAGGAGAAGGATGGGTAATCTCCTCCTGTGCAATTAACTGCCTCTGATAACGCAGTGGACGGTCAGCTACGGGTCGGTTGTGATTCTATGGTTCACAAAAACAACACATTATATAAACATACATGATGTTCTTCGTGTCTCGGTTTTCCAGAGGGTTCATAAAGAAAAAGAAATAAATACCGTAAAAAAATAAATATATCATAAGACAAGAAGTTTTATGATAAATAAAAAGAGAAAGAGAGCATGCACCACCACAAAGAATCTCCTTCCCGCTCTGCTATTCAATACACAGCTGTTCACAGCAAAGTCCCAATGTTTTGACCTGACCCATATTCTCCTAAGGAACAAAGAGCATGAACAAATCTCAGGTAATGATCACAAGTTTATCGCCGTGTATATAACCTTATTTTTAGACAATAAAGAAATCTGGAAGCAAGTCCTTTGGCCAGATTTTCTACTTTGGGTCAAATATGTGTTGGCATTTTTGTCTGTTGCTATTAAAAGAATCCTGTATTGTCTAAATCTTGGAATGACTTTGGTGGGTTGACTCTTCCCTGTGGTGACCCTTCCTGGGTCAGTAGTGTCTGTTCTGGGGACTGTGTTGTCTGGAGGAAGTGAAAGCGATGTTGTAAAGAGAGGTCAGTGCCTGGACCTATGCAAGTCTCTGCAGCTGTTCACCGCCTTCATAAACAATCTTGAGGATGTGTGCCTCCTCTCACCCAACACTAGCTCACACACTACGAGGGTGGATGTCCTGGTAGATGAGGGATGAAAATCAGTGCCACTAGTCTTGCCTTCCTCACATGATGGAACATCTTCATTTTACTGGAAACATCTGAACTATTCCCAAAATAATTGCATTTTTCCATTTCCATTTCCAAAGAGCTCTAGAGCTATTTAACATGATCAATGCCATCAGCAACAGATGGACATTTGCTTCCCTAGTTCAAATTGCCCATTCCCCCTTTGGTGCATCAAGCACACAGTACTAATTAATGAGCCTTATTCCCCCCAATGCTTAAGATCTGGCACAGTTTTATGGCATAAAACAAGTAAGTACTAGCAAGTGCCGTTTGGCCTACTCATGTTAACATCTGCCTGTCCAAAACACATCTGTATTGTTCAGAGATATCAGTGCTAGCATATGGACTTAATGGTTTTCTTAACTTGGAAAGAAACAAGAATTGTGGTCTCATAAAAAGTGGAGATGGAGGATTAAATATGCTATGAAATTTGTTTCCACAGAGCTAATGAATTAGAAACATGCTTATATTATACATGAATCTGAAAACAAAATCAGTTTTTACAGGAATTGTGTGTTTGTAGGGTGTTATTTATCATTACTTCAGTATTAAAAGTATTATTCAAGATTTTATATTATTTACATTTTAATTTAGGTAGATAAATTCATACCAATGTTTAGGGAAAAAATGTGAGATTCTATTTCCAAGCATTTAATACGTGCTTTGAGTTTGCCTCACTATTAAATTAAGTGAGACCTTGATAGATTTTTTACATCGCTTCCATTATCATCTCAAACGCTTAAACATTCAACTACTAACAGGAAATTAGTGCTTTGAGTCAACTAAGATGTATCTCAGAAAAAAAAAGACTTTTTCAAAGGTTGCAAGGCTAGACCTAAGAGAGATGCAAATCAAAACTAGGAGATATCATCTCAGCCCCGTAAGAACAGCAAAATTTAACAGAACAGCAAACAACAAATGCTGAAGAGGTTGTGGAGAAACTGGAACCAATATTCATTGTTGGTGGGAGTGTAAAATGGTGCAGCCACTATGGAAGGCGGTATGGCGCTTTCTCAAAAAGTTACAAATAGAAATGCCATTTGACCCAGCAATTCCACTACTGGGAATATACCCCAAAGAGACATTACCGCACCCAAGCAGATATATGCACACCCATGTTTATCGCAGCTTTGTTCACAATAGCAAAGGGTTGGAAACAACCTAAGTGCCCATCAACAAATGAATGGATAGAGAAGCTGTGGTATATTATATAATGGAATACTACGCTACATTGAAAAACAAGGAACTTATGGAAATATTATTCAAAATGGATAACCCTGGAGGTCATTATGCTCAGTGCAATATCTCAGTCACAAAAGGACAAACACAGCCTAACATCTCTGTTACAAAATAGGAAATGGATGAAGGAAAATAAATCCAACTTTCCTGTAACGTTTGGTTAAAATCACAATTTAAAAGTGTATAAAAAGTTAGGACTGACAAAGAGATTGCTGTTTAAAGGGTTTCCAGAGGCAAGCTATTTCGGAAGTCTAGATGCCACTCCTGCTTCCAAGCTTGTTGTAATCGGGAAGCTCCACCAAACACTGTCCACCGTGGGTAAATGGGTAACCATTATCACATTTGACACGAGTGTCACAGAGAAACCAGGACTGACGGCTGCAGATTAAAATCACCCACATTTGATTTGATAGCATCACTTTCTACCCACCAGGCTCACAGAGCTTTCTCTATGTTGTTCAGTAACATGATAACCATAATCTTGTTTAATTTAGTACTAATTTGGGCCTTAAAATAATTTTACTTTAATCCATAATCTTTTAAAATAGAATTAATACATACTGTTTCAATTTTCTTTCTAAAATTAGGTAATGTTGTTGTTGATTGCCCTCGAGTTGAGCACGACTCATAACAACCCTAAGAACAAAAGGTGTGAAGTCCCTCAACAACCATCAACATTTATCAAAGTTTACAGGGTTGCTGGAGGCATGCTATTTAAGAAGGGGATGCCACTCCTGCTTCCAAATATCTCTAAATTCTTTTAAATCCTTATACTTGCATTTTAAGCACTATAGTATGACTATGTTTAGTAGAACACAACCCATGTACCCTTTGTTGATGTTTCCAAGTTTGTTTTCTTGTATTTTAATAAGCCTAAATAATTGTCGATCTCTCCTAATTGAAGTTATTAAAGGAACAGATAAATTTTACATAGTTTCTCTAATTACGTAGAAATCTCAGCAGTTTTGACTCATCTTCACACCTCATTGAGAATCACTAGTTTGTAACAAGAAGTACCTCAGTGTTGAAGTAAAAAACAATTCAGGTTTGTTGACTGTCTATTTTTCTCTCTAATTCCTTGAGGAATGTGATAGAATTCTGAGCTTAAATATTAGCAAATTTGCTGAGTTATTCCTAGAACTCTCTGCAGGATTGGGTAGGTCTCTTGACTTGATCAGTTAGTGTTTGCAAATAATTTCGAAATTGGAGAGTACTACATAATTTTTAAAAAAATTGTTATGATGACTATTTTCTCCCAGAAATGTACTGACATTTTTGCAATGGTACTTTGAAACACCAATGCATTAGTAACTAAGGCCCAAGACCATGCCTGCAAGGAAACAGTAACTAGGAAGTTTGAAAGGTAATCCTTTTTAAATAGCAGAACTTTAGGTGATTTCTTTAGGGCTCTGGTGACTAAAGAATTTAATCCAAATGTATGCTAATTTGCATGTACTCATGAAATTAAGTTTGTAAAGTAAATGTAACATCCTCAGAATTTAATACACATTTTTAACAACATTCAATATGCTGAAGGACTTTAGATATTAACAAAAATTTGTTTTAGTAATTCTTATTAATTTTAAGTGAAAACATTATAGAATACCCCAAAAGAAATTTAAACAAATTAATGTAAACTCATTTTTGTTGACAGTTAAATATAATTGAATCTATTACTGGCCTTCTAACGGAGATAGTTTTCTTTATCTGTTCAAAAATGAAATTGTTGTCATCCTAAATTATTTTATTGATATTTGCAAGCTCATCTCTAACATTTTTATTCTTCCAAATTCTTACAAATGCACTCTTTAAAAGTTTGTAAAAAAGACTTTTAAATGTAAAAAGGTGTACTATTTAGTAATTTTTGGAATCACTTAATATTTCAAGTAAATAGTAACTGAAGAAAAATTATAGCTAGTAAAACTCCATTATGAAGAAGTTATGACCTATTGCTGTTAACAGGAGAGAAATTAATATTCATTGCATACATGCTGATAATACTTGGGTTGTGGAATTTTCCATTTCAGTTTTATATTCTTTGTCACTTCATGTTTCATGACATTATTTAAAGTGTTGATTTCCTTACAAAAAGTAAAAAAAGTTGATTTGCTTACAAAGTTTGTATATTGTGTTTCACACTATTCTTCATTCCTATTATGTTTCATACAATCATTCTCATGTGTTATGTTTTATAAAATTATTCACTATTGAAACTTGCCTGTCATTTCCCTGTCTTTTCTTCCTGTTCCTTCACCCTCTACCTCCACCTACCAAACCGTGCAACTCTGCGGTTTTGTTCCTATGTACCCTTAATCCTCTGCTCCCATCCCTTCCTCTCTTGAGTTTCCACATGTCTAACCACAACTGATTGTTATGAGAAATTGTGCTACATTTACATAAAGGAATATTAT